AACAAATCTTACCATTTGCAGCAACATGGATGGAGCTAGAGGGGATTATGCTCAGTGAAATAAGCCAGGCGGAGAAAGACAAGTACCAAATGATTTCACTTATTTGTGGAGTATAACAACAAAGCAAAAACTGAAAGAACAAAACAACAGCAGACTCACAGACTCCAAGAAGGGACTAGCGCTTACTAAAGGGAAAGGGGTTGGGAAAGGTGGATAGGAAGGGAGGTATAAGGGGATTAAGGTGTATTATGATTAGTGCACATAATATAGGGGGGACATGGGGAAGGAAGTATAGCACAGAGAAGACAAGTAGTGACTGTAGTATCTTACTATGCTGATGGACAGTGACTATAATGGGGTACGTGGGGGGGACTTGATAATAGGGGGTAATGTTGTAACCACTATGTTTCTCATGTGAAACCTGAGCATAAGATTGTGTATCAATGACACCTTAATAAAAAATAAAAATAAAAGAGTTCATATGTCTTAAAAGCAAAAAAACAAATGACCAGATTAATAAATGGGCAGAGGACCTGAACAGACATTTTTCTAAGGAAGAAACAGATTGTCAATAGGCTCATGAAAAGATGGTCCACATTGCTATTCATCAGGGAAATTTAAGTCAAAACAATGAGATATCACCTCACACCAATTAGAATGGCCACTATCCAAAAGACAATAAATAACAATAGTTGGTGGGGATGTGGAGACAAGGGAACTTTCCTATACTGTTGGTGGGAATATAAATTTGTTCAGTCCCTGTGGGAAGCTGTATGGAGGTTCCTTGAAAAACTAAAACTAGAAATCACATACAACCCAGTAATTCTACTTCTAGGCATTTACCTGAAGGAAACAAAATCACTGATTCAAAAAGAAAGATGCATATCTATGTTCATTGCCTATTATTTGCAATAGCCAAGATAGGGAATAGGGAAACATCAAAAGTATCCATCAAGATGTGGAACATATATATAATGGAATATTATTCAGTCATTAAAAAGAAAGAATCCTTCGATTTGGGACAACAGGGATGGACCTAGAGAGTATTATGCTAAGTGAAATACGCCAGGTGGAGAAAGACAAATACCATATGATTTCACTCATTTGTGGAATCTAAAAATAAAACACAACAAAATGAACAAAATAGTAGTGGACTCATAGACACTGAGAAGTGACTGGTGGTTACCATGGCGGGAGGTATGGAGTACCTGGGTGGGGAAGATGAGGGGGATAAAGAGGCACAAAAATTATCAATCATAATATAAGTTGGTCACAGGGAAGATAGTACAGCATGGAGAATTTAGCCAACGATCCTGCAACATCCCTATATGTTGACAGATAGTACCCGCACTAGTTGGAGTGAGGTTTTAATAAGGTGGGTAGCTGTTGAACCACTGTGTTGTACACTTGAGCCAATATAAGATTGTATATCAACTATACTTCAATGAAAAAGTTACAAGCAAAAAAATAATTATTTCAATTCCAGTTTAGGTCTGCATTAGTCTTTTTTCAAGAATTATTTTAAGCCTACTTTTTTCTCTTCTTCTCCTACCTGACCCCTATTTTTTCTCTATAACTATTTTTATATTAGTTGGCAGGAAGCTAGTCCAAGAAAGAAGCAAGAGTGGAGAGAATGCACATTACCAACAGAGGCAGAAGGAGTCTTCTCCTGTCCTCTTTCTCACCCCTAGGGCTACCCACTTACCTCTTTGGATCCTGTCGCAGGATCCTCCAGCCTCAACAGAACCGTAGACCATGAGCATGGGGAAATATGGGAGTTCATTTATGTTAAGTCATTAAATTCATTATATAAATAGCACTTTCGAGTTAATAAAACAATTTGCTAGCATCTCACACTGGTCAACCCTTATTTGAGTACCCTCATATCTTAAAGTCCATGTATGTAATCTTTAGATTTAGGTTTCCAGTGTATATAATCTTTAGAATTTGGGCAAGCTGTGGCAAATACATACCCAAAAGCCTGGTGGTCTAGCCTAGTGGAATCACCAGTGTTTGAAAAACAGGATTCCCAGTCCTGTATTCTCAGTTCTGACTTTCAGGGAGAGCAGCACCAGAAAGACTGTGTCTAGTTTTTGGGAACACGTTTAAGGCAGTTTAGTTCCAATTTACTAGTCATCAGACTGGCTTACTTTCCTTTCTGTCAAGGTTACAGAAGTACCCTTTGATATAGTTCCTTTTGAAACTGGAATTCCTTTTGCTCATTGAGAGAGCTAAATAGGATCTACAGTAACATAGCAAAAGCTGGCTAGAGTTTCACTTTTCCTGGTTTCTAAAGAGAGTTATTGCCCACCTGATTTATAAGACCCTTACATGTTTCAAATGCTCATTGGTTCTTTGTACTTTTCTGTATGTGTGTGTGTGAATTTACAAATACTTCTATTGAATATTTTTTCTCCTGGATTTATAAGGGCTCCTTATATATTATGGATATTAACTATTATTTCTTATACATTCATTTTCTCTCTAAAAAATATAGACACAAACATACACACACACACATGCACATACATACATAATGACTTAAGGGATTGTAACTTCTTTGAAAGCAAGTATTGTCCTTCTGCATGTCTTTCATAGTACCAAGTATACTAATAAGTTAAGCAGATTCCATTAAGAACGAAATGCTGCACAAATCAGATATTTTTCTCCTAATAATAAATTATTACATTGAATCCTGCTTAGTGATTCTTATTCATATTTTAACCAGATTTATTTTGGGCAAAGTGGTCCCAGACTTTTGGCTACTAATCTGTTGATACCTATTATTGTAATTTTCTGTTATTTCAACCAAGAATTGTTTATCCTTAATATGTCTTCAAAAATCTTAGAACATTTTTGTATACCAAATGAACGCTGTATTGTTCGCTAAATGTCACATAGCAGTAAAATGATATAAACACTTTTATTTATTTTGGAATAATGTATGAATTTGTGGGGGTAGATAATTCCTAACAATATAGTGGACTCTGAATATATTTTATTAATATGTATCCTTAAAATGTAATAAAGTTAAATATTAAAGTAAAATATATAAGAAAATATTGAAAATGATGGTGAATATATGATTTTTCAAAAGGCTTTTATTATTGGATAATCAATTATGTCCTAAATACATTACTTTTTAACATAAGAACTGAAATATGAGAGTTAAAAATATTTAAAGAATGGTCTAGATGTACATAGAACCTAGCCACTTGAAATATGAAGCTAGGGGAACTTGAGTGCCTTAAAGAGTGTGAATGTTAAAAAAAATAAAGCAGAAAATAAATAATTAACTTTGTGGTTAGTTGGCTTACCTTTCCATAAGTCATCAGGTTTTTCAAAAGATTACACTTCTTTCATTGATTGGCTAATTTAGGTTTCTTAAATCAACACAGGACCAGGAGTTTTATTTATTTTGTGAAATAATTCTGCCTCACCTATGACTAATATCTCAGTATTAAGTAGTGTATCTTGAGACATGCTGTATCTAGAATTGACCCTACATTGAACAGGACACATATTTAAATTTTAACAGTGAACTTCAATTCTTTGTTGCTACTTAGTAAAACAAGTCTATGCAACTGATCATTTACTAAAAATCTTTTGCTATCCTCTGAAGTCAAGTAATATCGTCAAAATGTTTTGTGGAGACTATGTAAGTATAATATCTATTTCTGTAAAACTTTCAGAGTTTTGAGATTGAGTCTTATTTATAAAATTTCATTTGTGGTATTTGACATTTTCATCAGGAAATATTGTTGATGAAAATTTATTTCATTAAATTTTTAGTGAGCGCTCAATATAATGATTTAACAAGGTTACTATTATCAAATCTCAAATCCATGCTAATTTTGAAATAATGTATTATTTCATAGAGGAAATTTAGTTACCCCTTTCATAAGTAACTTGATTAAGAACTCTAAATGAAGTTAAAGTAAGATTTTTATCTTCATATTTGTCTTTAATTTTTGTATGACTGTTAATTTTAATTATGTCTGATCTCTATAGAAAAATAGTTTATTTTTTTAATAGTTCTTGAATTTATGTAATGTATAACTCAGTCATTTCATTTTTTTCTTTGAAATCACTTCAGTCCAATTACTCTAATAGCCTATAAACTTTTGAAGAGCCAGAATAGATACTGGGTTACCTAACTATGCATTGCTTGAAAAGATACCCATTTCACATTGTCTTGATAATTTTACATAATTGTGATGCGTGTTAATGATTTTTTTAAATCTATACTATAAAAAATACTTCCAGGAATCTTTATTTTTATTTCGATTTTTAAACTTTTTTATGCCAAAAAAAATCACAACATAATTATTTGGTTAAAGTTCAGCACAAAAAAAAAACAGTATTTATTCATTTACAAAATTCCTAGAGAATATTATTTTCTTATCTTGTTTTTCAAATTAAATATTGAATAGGGATCTAAAATATGACTACCTTCTGTAACTGTTATCTTAAAAACCTTAATTTCATCTTCAGAATTCAGAATCTCATTTGCTTTGAAATTTATCGTTATTGCTTTAATTGTGTGGCAGTTACCTTTCACTACAGAGAAATAAAAGTTATTAGGTAATTCAGACCAATATGGTAAATGATATAACTTGTAAAAAGCTATTGTTCTCTCCCTTTCAATTCATTCAAGTACAATTATTTGGAAATAACATTATATTCTGTATGATATAGTTTTATATTAACAATTACATGTCAATTTATCAAAGAAACATTTTGAAAATATTTAAACTGTATTTCAGAGATTATTAAAAGTTACCATGGTGACAAGATTTTCAAGAAATGCAATGATTTGCTATGTTTCTAGAGCAGATAAAGAATATCAGATTAAATACTTGGATGTGAGCTTATCTAAAATTTCATTTAAGTATTTTCAGCTATGTCAAACATAAAACTTAGGTTGTATGTATTATCTGTGCAAGTTTTGATGATAAAATGGTTTTACATAATCAATGTCATATATTTAAAGCAATTACCTGGTGTCTTAAGCTAGACAGCCCAAACAGAGTTTGGCATTGAAAAGACCAATAGGTGAGGTCAAGCTCTTCTGTTCAATCTCCATATTGGGTCTGGTATCCTCAAGCAAAAGACAAGCTCTTCCTTAGGGAAGAAAGCAGAAGTTCTCATATTACGCTGCGCATAATTATTGATTTGGTTGTTTCCTAAAAATAGACACCTAGGCCCTCTACTCAGCAGTGCAGCTTCAATATATATGACTTTTGAACTTACATGTTGATAGAAATGCATGAATATTTTCGAAAGCCACCAAATTAATTCATTAGTGTCAGTAACAAGTACAAAAAATTTAAATACAAGCCAAACAGGAGACAAGAATCATAGAAAAAGTCGTTAAATTCCTGTAAGAAATAAGTGTATGTAATCCTTTAAATCACTTTGTAGAAGTATGAAGTGATGACCCCTAATGATTAAAGCAGCTTGAGTGGGTTAGTTACATTAACAAGGTAAATTTACTTTTAATGCAATAAATGTATTTTATTTATGTGTTTGACTGTTAGACCATCTACTGAAAGCAAGATTTAATTAAATGATATGGCAAGTCTGAAATTGTTCTGATGTATTAATTAATCAGATATAAATCACCTTATAAGGAAGATGTTATTATAATGTCCCTCTGAGAATAGAGGAAACTGAACTGTAGAGTATTTAAAAACAACTTGTTTAAGCCATGGTCCAAACCAGGCATTGTTGTGCCATTGTATCCACTAAAATATACTGCCTGTTCAGTGTGTGTGCCTTGGTTGTTCTGTGAAATTAATGGCTGGTTTTGTCCTGTTTTGTCATTAACTGATCCTACTTTTTTGTATGGTAGCATTTTATTTCCTATAGATTCATTTAGTTGATTATATCCTCCCTTTTTTTCCTATAAGTAAACTTAAAACCTATTTCTCTTCCTGTCCTTTTGACAAGTTTCCTATTTTTACCATATATATTGACTGACAGAAAAATGGTAATCACAGTATTACAAGCAATATAACATATTGATAGAATACTCCATACCTGAATTAACATTATATATTACACATAAAGAACAAATTGTGATGATGATTTTGTTAGTCTGCATCAAGAGTTTTGTATATCTTGTCTAATTTAATACTCACAGCAAATCTTTTTAGAAGAATACCATTTAACATTCAAAGGTCTTGAAATTCTTATAAGCACAAGATATTCTGCTCAGTGGTTTTGCATGAATTATTTTTAGTCTTCACAACCTTCAAGGAACGTATTACCATCCCTATTTTCCACATGAATATACCAAGGCTTAGAGAAGTTACTTTCCCCAGGGTAAAAAAAAACAGGAAATGGCATTATAGGATCCTGTCTAACTTCAAAACTATTTCTACCACAAAGAAAGAGGTAAAAATGCCTAAGGATGATTAGACTTCATAATTATTAACTTTATGTTATAAAGCAAAGAGTAGATCCTTCAGGAACCCAATGAAGAGATATAAAATTAGTAGCAGAATCTTTACAAAGGTGCTCTTTCATAAATTTGCACCCAGAATGGCTCAAGAGCACCAAAGTCAGACAACAGCAATTCAGCAATTTAGGCAATGTCTAGTGTAGGCAACAAGACATTCTGCATTTTAGCCCAGTTAGGATGGAATAACCACATTGGTACTTAGCAGTGAGTACCATGTAATGGAGAAAGAGCACTCAGTGAATCAGAAATAAATTCAGGGCCCTCTATCCAGAAGTGATTGCTGGCAGAGAAGACCTCCCCAGGGAGCAGAGGCTGTCAATTAGGCAGGAATATTTTTAAAGCAGGCTTTTCCTACTGAAAGTATTTCTGTGAGAAAAACTTCCATCCAAGAAAGCTGACTTTGATTGTTTATCTGCAGTATGACTTACTGAACAAATGTTAATAAAAGGTTATTCATATTTTTTATTGCTTTTTACTATCAGAAGACTACACTGTCTGAACTTTACGCACTTTGATTCAACAAAAGTTATGATTCATGCTGCCTATGGCTTCAACTTTTACTGCAGCCTCTGTTAAACTAATAGGTATTGGACTGAAAAGACTAAGTGTAGTAACTTTTTCCTTGAAATGATATATAAGCTTGTTGTTAAATTCTTTTAAATCTCCTTATAACAGCTACAGATTGCTTTCAATATAAGAGCTGGGCAACCATGCCTATAGAATAACAGAAACATACAGTCAGAACCAGCCTCCCCCAGATCCACGTGACTCATATTATAGAGTCTCCTGAGAATTAATTGGCAGGTAAAACACTAAAAAGACCAGGAGTATAAACACCCTCTCCCCAAAATGTGAGTGATTATCAACAGTTTTATTAAACAGCAGTGCCAGTGCTTGAACCCAGCAGTAACCCCAAAGCCCTGGACTGCAACAGCCCAACATACCCCTAGAGATAAGGGATCTATTATTACCAAGGTTAATTTTGTGCATATATATGTACATACATATGTGTGTATAATTCATAAATTTCCTAATAAATTTGAACAACATCAAAAATTTCATGAATGGAAAAATCATATAGTCTTTTAAACTCAGCTCAATCTTTATAAATAGACTCAACCATGCTAAGGAATTCCATAAACCCACATCCCTCATCAGTTAATGCCAAATTCTCTTCTTTTTGTGGAGAAAGTCCTCAGAAGTGTATTGCATTCCTTATATGTAATTCCTCTCCTCCAATTCTCCCTAAACCCTCTCTCCCTGGGTTTTCACCCACCCGCTGCACCTGAGCTGCCCTGTGAAGGTGAGCAGCGGACCCCTGGTCTCACTCCTCATCTAAGTACATATATGAGTGTTCAAGAGCCTCCTTTGCCGGAAGTGTCCCAGCCCTAAATTCTTGAAACTTTTCTCATTCCTACTTACAGCATCTCCTTCAGCTATTATGTCCAATATAATGGTGTTAATTACAATGCACACACAAAGTCCTCCTTGAATTTATATCTCAACACAGCATCTGTATCTGAATCCCAGATGCATATAACCAGGTGTCTACTCAGTGAGTGAAAATTCCATCCTCTTATTAGCACAGAAAAAAATGTAAAAATTCAAGAATTGGAGTTATCCCTGGCCCCTATCGTTCTTTTACACCTCACAACTATGCATTAACAAATCTCTGGCTCTGTGTTCACAGTGTACTCACTGCCAGCCTTGACCCTCCTCCTACCACCTCAGTCAACCTACCACCATCATCTGCCAACTTTATGCAACAGCTTCCTACCTGGTCTCCCTGCTCCGACCTTTGCTCTCACTTCTAGGTACTGGGGATACAACAATGAATATGATTGCCAAAAACTGCCCTTTGGACACACACATCCATCCCATTGTATAAGAACAGTCCTCATTCTGGAATTAGACAAAGTCATGGAGTATGAAGATAAAACACTAAAGAAGAGCATCAAAAGGTTTTTGTTCCTTATTTTCAAGTTCTTATACCATCTACCACAATAGCAAGAACAATAATAAAGCTTAAATTTGTACAGACATTTCCATTTTCCAAAGTGCTTACAGTATCACAGGACCTGTGGGAGATAAGACACCTCTAAAGATATACTAGATTCTCTTAAATGCTAGAGGTTTCCAGGTAATTATAAAATTAGCTAGAAAGTTATTTTGATATAGTACTTCTATCAACATTAATACAATGCACTCATTTGAATAAGCATTAAGTTAAACCAGAACCCTCTTCAAATTTAAACATTAGGAATTGTAAAACAGAAGTAACAAAAAATATGGTTAACTGTTATTTTATTTTTTCTAAGTGATCAACCCATTTAACAAACAGCAAAGAAAATAACCAGAGATTATCACAAATCACTTTTAAAATCTGTACTTCTTGTCTTAAATCACAAGATTAAAATCTTAAGAAATTATGTTTAGCAATAAGAATCATAATTATTTTAATGAGTCATGTATTTCTGGGAGATTAGATGGAATTCAGAAAGCAGATAGAAAGACACCATTTGGAGGGTATGATTTACTGATTTTCATTTTGTAGTACCACCTCCCAGACCAACACCCAGACCTTTATCTACCATATTTCTTCTATCAGCAGAAACTCCTTGTAATCCGGAATAGCTCAGCCTGATTCACCAAAAAAGAATTATAGGAAATCTTATTTTTTTAAGTATGTCAAAATGTGTTCTGTCACTCTCCCTGCCTCGGCCTCTTTTGAATTGTCTCCAAGAGTTCATAAACTTTCTTAAATTGTGGACATCTTTTCCTCATCCAAGTAATGGAAAATACAGTTAAAGGTGCATTTTCTTTCTCAGCATCCCACCTTACATCAACATGTACTTATGAATATATGCTTTCTAAATTACACTCTTTATTTCCTTCAGACATTCTGGTAATTATACTAGAAGGAACCAGAAAAAAATGTTAACAGACTGTGACAATTATCATGTACAAAACATAAAAGTAATTACAGGCAATTTATACATAAGATAATGAGTTTCATGTACACCAATTATGGATAAAGTGGGAATCAACTTCACTCAGAGGCTACTTTGAATTGGCTTTTCATCTTTATTTTGTGATAATTTGTAATAAAGCAACATCTATTTTATCATTCAATCCTTTAACTGCAACATTTGTACTATTTTATTTTTAAATAAGCTAGAACTGAATGCACTGTAGAAATATATTTTCAAGTTATTTAAAAAAAGCATGTGAACCCCAGCAGACACATTGTTCTAAGTAACATACATCGGCAAGAGTTTAAAAAATACATGAACCATATTGTACTTAATAGTTGGGTGGTTCTTGTGTTGATGACATCACTACAGTAGTAATTTTCTTGCTCAAATCTTTTGAGATGTTGAATGGATATTCTCCTAGGCTTCTATTTAGCTGCCAGTCTCACAATGTCATTGTTTTAAAGGGTAAACAAGAAAACAGACAAAGGTACTGAAAGATAGAGGCACTGGTGCCTGGGGATGCACACACCTCTGTGTGCCTTTCATGACCTGTTGTATTCACTGCCAGGTGTTCACTCGAGCACACAGCTCATATATAAGAAGGTAAATATTCATAGCGAGTAATGTACTACCTCCAAAGCAAAAAAGGGTTGGATGTGTGAACCCTTAGTGATCGGTGAATT